ACAGTGGAAGTACAGGGGAGCACAGTGGAGGCACATGGGTGTACAGTGGAGGTAAAGGGGAGCACAGTGAAGGTACAGGGGAGCACGGAGGAGTATAGTGGAAGAGTAGGATAGTACAGGGGAGTATGGTGGAAGAATAGGATAGTAGTGGGAGTACGTACTCCAGGAGTCCCGCTTTTCCCCCTTGAGTCCTACCCTTCACAGGGGCCTCTAGTTTTTGTATATAATTCCAATATTTCATCAGGATTTATGTTGAGATCTTTATGAATGTATGCAGCAGCAAGTCCGTTTAGTCTATTTTGCTTCATTGTAGACCGACAATAGCTTTTAATTCTCGATAATTGACTAAAACTTCTTTCAGCAGAAGCTGTTGAAACAGGCAATGTTGCCAAGAAAATTAATAAATAACGAACATTTGGATATAGTACATTGTCTGCCTCTTTAATTATTTCATTTAACCATTTCTTTCTCCAGTCATCATCCATTTTAAGCAAATATTTACATTTTTTTTTGCCATCTTGCTAATTCGGAATTCAATTGTAATGGTGATGGTAAACGATCAGCAAATTGTTTCGATAAATGTTTTGCTAATTCAAATGGTTTTTCATTTACAATTACTTCCGGTCGCAATTTACTCAATAAAATAATTCGTTCACTTTTTAAGCCAGATAATCGACTTTTAGTATTGTTAATTAATTCGTTTAAGAATGGTAAATAAGCATGATCACAATAAAATTCTTCAGGATCACAAATTGACATATTTTGTTTGCGCAAAGCTAATACTGAATGACGCGGTATAGATGGTGTGACAAATAGTTCTTTACATAATTCATGAGCATGACTATTAATAACATTATGAAAATAATCTCGAGCACGATGTTTTCGTTGTTCAAATGTATCTAATAAATCATCAACATATCGATTAGCCGACGAAAAATCCAATGTTTCTGTTTGTAGTAAACGACTAATAGGAGCAATATCCGATAATAAAAAACATGAAATACAAGTTGAGATAATATGTTGAAAATTGATTATAGCATGATACAACTGTTCAGCTCTTGGATCTTTCAACGTTCCATATCTAAATTTATCTAATGTATTAGCAATTGGAATATATAATTCTAAAAATGCTTCAATTGAAGTATTTCTGTCAATCCATCGAGTATCGCATAAACTAAGTAAACGTTTTTTATTTGTTAAACAAATGTATTCTCCTTGATAGTTCGTAATTTCAGACCGAAGTGCGTGCATTCGTTTTGCTGAATCTCTAAAAAAATTAATTATTTCCTTGATTGTTCCCATCATGTTACGAATTTGTAAAATACTACAACTATTCATCAGAGCTAAATTGAGACAATGGTTAGAACAATGATAATAGTCTGCATCTGGACATTTTTTTCTAATTAGTGCTTGACAACCTCGATAGATACCGGACATATTCGAACCACCATCATATGATTGACCCACACAATTATCAAACGGTAAGTTATATGTTGTTAAATAATCAAGAATAACATTAGCTATTGTTTCACCCGTACACGAAACGGTTTCGATAAACGTTAAAAAATCTTCTCGTATATCGTTTGTTTTTTTATCATAATATCGTAATGAAATACTTAATTGTTCGGTTGTTGACGTATCTGTTGTTTCATCAACAATAATAGAAAATAAACAATTTTTTAATCGATGTAAAATTTGGTCCAAAATATGTTTGTGTATACAGTCAATAATTTCATTTTGAACTAACGGACTTATATACAATGCATTCTTTGGTCCACGTTCAATGTGTTCACGAAGAATTTCATCGCCCGCATCGATACGTTGTTTTAATAATGCAATGAAATTTGAACCAGAATAAGAATCTATTACATTTATACATTGTTTTATATCATATATTGTTTCGTCTCTGTGACCACGGAGAGGAATATTTTGACGTGAACAAGTAATTATAATTTTTATAATTGATGCTAATATTGCTTTATTGCGATTGATTTTCTCAATTCTATTTTTATCAATTAAGGATAAAATCGATAACGATGGATCTTTATATGTACGTATAAAATTATCGGTAGCAACTGTTAAATTCTGATGAAATTGTGAATTAATATGAATTTTCCATAAAGTAGTGAAATGTTTCAAATGTTTGTATTGATAGCAAGGTTTATCAACAAATAATTCGAATTTTTGTCCTTGTACGTTACGAAATAATACACAATTTATGCAGTAACCTCCTTCAATATACGGTGAATAAACAAGAAATGAATTATCGTTTAACCAATTGATCATGAATCGACGAGAATGTTTATGATCATCTGAATATAACGTTGGAAACGAATATTTTCTATCAGGTTTAAAATAATTTGTTAATAGAGAATATTTCAAATGATCATCAATTGATAATTTATTTAATACATAATAACCGATATCATTTGTATTGGTGTCAGGTCGAGCATTAATCACTTTCAATTCATTACTTTCGACATTAAAATTAACTTCATCACTCACCTGACCTAAATCTTCAGGATCACTGGATAAAAATAAACTAGAATCATCATTAGTTGTTGTAGCTGTAATTGTACTAATTGCAAGTGTATTCGAATCTTGTGGTAAATTTTCAGTATCTGTACGTATTTTTTTGGAAGAAAAATTGTAGTTTAATAACGTATTGGATCGCTTTTCATTCGACATAGCTTTGTATTAGTACATTTTAAAACAGAACAACAGAATGATAAGTGCATAATTGTATATATATATATTTGTTCTTTTCTTTTTCTTTCATCTTTTCTTATAATAATAACACGGAAGAAGATGAATTATAACCTATCTCGTCCAGTTTATCGTCTTGTCTCTTCGTCCGTACCAATATATTATAAGAAAAATTGAAAGAAAAAAGAAAAGAACAAATATGTATATATAGAATTGTACGTATGCACTTATCATTTTGTTGTTCCGTTTTCTTGTACTTAATTCTTAAAATAAAGAACAAGCAAGGAGTGCATGTGTAATTCAGACAGACGAAAAAACTACAGGTACTATCTAATTAAAAAATAAACAAGCAATGATGAAAAAGTAAAATTTCAATGGGCAAAATCTTACTAATCAAAATTACATTGGGCAAATCTCAAAATTCATTGGGCAATTGCCCAATTGCCAGCCCCTGGTTACGCCACTGTTGATGATCCCTTAGTTCTTACTAAAATATAACAAAATTTCAGCAATTGGAAAATTGTCACCTATTTTACAACCATATAAAACTGATAAATACAGGCCAATTGAACATTTATTTACTTATTGATTTAGTTTTCATCAGATCATTGAAAAATTCTATCGTATGATTTTATTAGACATGGTTACTATAAGATTGGCATATAAATTCTTATAAGATCATATACATGTATAATTTTCATACGATTTTCTATGATCATGAAACATCATCAAACAACAGAGTATGTTTCTTTATGATCTTATTCAATTTAACTAAAGCAATAGAGTTTTTAAGGTAGTATTTTGCGACGATTTGTGTTTATCAACTCCTATTTATAATTAAAATTTCAAAGCAAAACATTTCTATTTCTATTTTAATTTGTCTTGCTACAAGACAATTTTTATTTATCGCATTTTCAAACAACAAAATATATTTAATAACATGAATACTTTTGTGGTTTTGAAATTTATACACTTAGATGCCATTACGCAGTCATCATTATTATTGAATAATAGAAAAACAAAAGTGTCTTTCTTCAACGATCGATCATAAATAAATCATTAAATATGTATTATCCACTACATATGTATCTTTTGTTTACTATCATCTACTACTACCATCATTAATCTCATCCACTATGCATCATTACATTCAATGATAAGAGAAAGCAAAAAAAATCTTTAAATAAATTATTCATTTCATTATTCATTCAGTTTAAAAAAAAGTGTTTTGAAAACAAATGTTTTGTTTGTGCTTTTTTGAAACTTTATCGATCGATTTCAAACACGTGGTCTCATCTCTAGTTGCCGCCCATCTATACATACCAACTGATATTATGTTGAAAAAAAAGCTTGGCAACAGTTACAACAACAACATTCATTCGATTAAGTTTTTTTTTGATTCTTCTTCTTCATTCGATGACGATGTAACTAGCTACGCACGTGCTCTAGAAATGAACGATGAAGAATCTTTCAATAGCAAATAAAAAACATACTCCCGTAACAACCAACCAAAAGGCGAAATCGGTATCAACAAAAAGAAGAAAAAATATTTGTCTCTCTTTAGAAGGAGACGAACGAATTTCTTCACATCTTTTTTCTTGATGAAAACATCAATAATGGAGTATCTAGTTTTTTTCAAAAGCTTTATAGTAACAACTAAAAGTTTCATTCTTTCACTGTATTAATCAGTTATTACAAGATGGTGGGAAAAAAACTTCTTAATCGGAAAGTAAAAATGATCTACTACGACTAAAATTTACATTTCACTTGAAATTTAATATAACTCCCTCTATAGAGCTGACAAAGAATTCACTGAAAAAAAAAGATTTATTTTGGTAGAGATTTTTTCCTTCTTATAGAATGATTCGTTCGTATTCGACATTAAGTTTTGTTCAATCTAATTGATGAAATAAAATAGTATCATAATATAAGAGATCACATCTGATGGAAACAATATGGAAGACACTGCTTTTTGTTATTATTGAAGTTTTAATAATATTTATTAGAAAACTATCAATAATGCAAATCTTTAACTGTGAACGCCAAGAGATTTGTTATGAAAGTTCCAGCCAGATACTAATGGTATTATGTTGTTATTGAACTACTGAATTTTTATAAAAAGATCAAAAAGAAAAAAAACCAAGGTGATTTTGTTCCAGAACAGATTTTATGTTCAATGAATGAATTTCTTTCTGGTCTGAAGATATGACGAAACATTTACAAAATAAAAATGTCTACTTCATGGTTTTTCTCTAGTTCTATATCTATTGCGAAAAAGCCTAAGTTTTTTTTTTGATCATCTTTTTGTACAATTGGATTACATGGTCAATAAGCAATATGATTATGTTCCATTCATACAAGCCAGTAGAACAAAATAATAGGGAAGAGACGCAAACTATTGATTCGTTCGTTTCGTTGGATGAGAAAACTGCAGTTTATATTTATACAAGACATTTGTTTACACAAGACAATCATTCGACAAGAGAGAAAGTTGCAACAGTAGAAACAAAACTTTGCCGTTCGGCCTTTTTCTTCTATTAAAACTAGGCAACCAACATCCTTGAGTGTCAACAAAAAGAAAGAAACGTATTTTGATAATTCAGAAAGAAAAAATTGTTACCCTTGCGTTCGTTTGTCGTCAAAGAAAAGTTTCGTTTTCAGGTTGACAATTCATACATACATAATAATACATATAATTTATTTACATTACGTACAAACAATTCAAAGAATATGGATTATGGTACATCATCAGTGGTATCGAAACGCGATCATCGTACTGATACAAATGATATGATTCAAAGTTTTCTTTTGATTTGGCTTGACGCAAAAATCGATGAATCCACCGGTGGTTATCTCAATTCTATCAAACAACTACGACAAACAGTCAATACCATTGAAATATTTCGTGATACAGATGAATGTATCGATTATATTTCAGAACTTCACAACGAAAAGGCCTTTCTCATTATTTCCAGTACTTTATGTCAAACAGTAGTGCCACTTATTCATAACATGGTACAACTATATTCAATTTATGTTTTTTGTCTGAAAGAAGAACAGTATAAAGAATGGACAAAAGACTGGTCGAAGGTGAAAGGTATTTTCACTGATATTACTTCAATTTGTGACTCAATTCATCAATGGACNATCAGAGTCAAATCTTGGCATTACTTTTGAAACACTTCCACGACTGCAACGTAGTTGATCAGCCTGTGTAGCAGCCATGAATGTTATCAAATTGAGTCGTCTATCATTTAACTGGTACCGAGTGTCAAAAAAAAAGTAACAATATAAAAGCAGGTAATGGGTTATAGTTTGGAAGCATATGGTTCTCTTTCACAACATTCACGTGCACAATCTGGCAATATAAAGAGCTTTCTCCCTTTTCGCCACGCTATAAGCAACGCTTCTACTTGAAGATATTGTGAGTCAATAATGTTATCCATACAAAAATGATGAGAAATTCTTCAGCTCGTCATGAAGAATAAGAAAAAAGAGTATTTTATTGACTCTAAATATTTTTGTTTCTCTGCAAAGTTCATAAGTTGTGAAGCTTGTTTGTTCAAATTCATTTCTAAAGTAAGCGCCTAATGAACATTTTAATGGGTTCGAAATTCTCAATGAACAAGTTCTTATATGATATGTTTGAGTTTCACAGTATTTTCTCCTTTTTGTAAGAGTTTTATGATTGGAATTTTGATTTTGAGAATCATAATTTTCAGTTTTTCCAACTCATTATTGGCATAATCTTCCATTACTGAAATGTTTATTGAACATGATTCGCTAACTATTAATCCGATTTGTGTTCGATCGAGTCATGTGAAAAAGGTACTGATGTGTGTGAAGGCGTGAATGTAGGTGAGCTGTGCATGAAGCTGTGGAAATAGGCTAACTGCATGCCGTGCGTGTTATTCTAGGTGTTGGAATCAGTTTGAAGTTTGGATTACCTCTTTCTATGATCCGATGAATGACTGAAATTACATGTAGACATTTACACTTGCACTCTAGACTCACACTCATCCCATCGTTGCTGGTGTCGATTTGAGTGAGGTTGCATGAATACGAGTATGTCAGTATGTGGTGCTGTTGGTGCAGAGTGTGACTGTAGGTAGGTGTCGATTGGTATTTATCTGAACTATTGCATGCATTGCATTAGAGCATCGAACCACATTCCAATCAACAGTGCTCGCATGCGAAACACCTCTTCAGATACAGGCCAAACGAGAGTTTTATTTCCATATGTAATCAAAGGGTGTGGGTGTGGGTTGAAAAAAGACTGATACCCAAACCCACACCCACACCCACACCCTCCTGTTTATCGACAACCATAAACACGAATATATGTCTACATATCGTGTCGTTGAAGGTATCATTGGAAGTGAAAAAATTTTAGAAATGTCTTATTTCCGCATAGCAAATAGAGAGATTGGATATGAATGTGAATGATCAAATACTCATACTCTTCTTAGGTTTCTAGAGTTTTGTCAGTTATGTTAGTTGCTAAAGTTCTTTGAGTTCAGAATTTATGAAATCCAGACTTATCGCTCTTCGTGGTTTTGTTGTAGATTGTTATTAGTATGCATCATCAGTTTTCTTTTGAAAGAAGAGAAAATGTTTTTTTCTTATTATTTTATTCTTTACTTATATGAACATCTTAATTAAAATAAAATTAATCTATATAAAAAAAAGTATTTCCATAAGTTAGGTTCTTTTGAACTTTTTCTGTTGTTCTTGTATATATATCGATGCTTTTGTAAATTTATCCATGATTTTTTCATTATTTTTATCCATTTCTTGCTCACATGCATTCTCAATACTAGGTCGGATAATACTTTCGTTAAGATATTCTTTCAATGCCTTTGTTGTTTTTGAACTTTTTCTTGTATCATTCGGTGTTTTACTTAATTGATCAACAAATGTAAGCATAGTCTGTTCTAATAAATGATTATCAGTTCGTTGTTTTCTTTGAATTTCTCTTTGTAAATTATTTCGTTGATTTGGTATTGTACCAAATGTAACATTAAGAGAATTGAATATTTGACCATAGCTAGTAATCATTTGAGGATTATTTGTTATTTGTTTATATTCATCAAGAAACTTTCGTTCAAGTTCGATAGCAGGGTGAAGTAATTGACAAATTTTTGTATTTAATTTATGTTTATTTTGTTCAAATATAGTCCATTTATCTGAGGAATTTAAAATTTTTTGTACAATTTCAAATGTTTCTGATGTATATTCTCCTCGTGTAGAATTAAGCTGTTTAATAGCCGATTGCAATAAATTATTAATTTCTGAACTTTATTTTTGAAAAACACTATTAAGAGTATTTGGTAATGCTAAATATAATATATCTATTATTGGTATTTTAGGTAATATTTCATCCATATTATGAAGAGCATATGAAACTATAGCTTTACCATTTCCATCATAAACATGTTTTATAAGTGGTGTGTGACGTTGAACAATTTGAAACATTTCTTTTGTTTTTCCTTCAAATAAAGAATCATTATCTAACATTCCTAAAAATCGGCTAACAACCATCGATGTACTTCGATTTATTATCTTATCAAAATCACCAGAAATTAAAGCTTCAATATCTTTATATCGTTCTGGTATTTGTTTAACAAAATCAATCATATTCCTATCAATACCTGCCACATTCATACCAGTTAAAGCAATATTTGTTAAAGTCTCAATATTAAATCCTTTTGTACATAATTGATGAACATTTTTAGCCGTAACGCCAACCATTCGAATTTGTTCCATTGATGAAATAGATTTAACAAGATTACTTACAGCTGGTGTTATACATAATAATTCTAATCCATAATTAATTACTTTTTGTTTAAAATAATTAACAAGATCAAAATCACTAGTAATTTTTGTAGCTAAAATAAAAAAAAATAAAAATATTGTTTGTTTTTTTGTATAAAACTTTTCATTTAAATTTATTTACCAACAGCTAAATAAACATCAAAAGTTCCATTAAGAACCATTGATGTTCCTAATTTCCACTGACCAGCAACACATAAAAAGGCTCCACCAACAATTTGTGCAACACCCATAACAAAAACTAATATTGTTTTCCACCAACATCGTTTAGCTTCAATTTCAAATATAAATATCCACATTAAACCTTCACTTACCCATTCTTGATATTCAGCATGAATATCATTTTTAATTTCTTTAAATTGTGTATTCTCTAAATTTGATAATGTTTCTGCCCAAAATTCAGTACGACAAGATATCTCATGTTTATCTTCATCAAATTTACGTAATTGATCTCGACTAGCTTCGAATATTGAACGAACATGTCCGAGAAAGACAAGTTCAGCAATACTTGATCTATCGGCAGATATTTCTGTTGATGAATCATCATGAACTTGAAGAAGTGTACGTCTTTCAATTTCTTTACTAAGTAATGCTAGAGCTATTTCTAATTCTTGTATAGCTTGATTTATTGAATTTTGATTATTTTTAATATAACAATATACCATATTATAATGAACAATAAAGTCTTGATTATCAAGATCTGCTGCTCGTTGATATAATGATAATGCATATTGTTTTCTTTCAATTAAATCATTCATACATAAAATTTGAATACCAGCAAAAATAAAGTATTTTGGATGAGCAATCAATTGACGAAGAGCATCACATTGTGCTTTGGCTATGTGTTCGGTACGAGATTGTTCTTCATTTTTGAGAAAATGAGCCGAATGAAATGACTGTGATAGTGTTTGTTTCATAGTTGTAATTGATATTTCAAGTTTTTGTTGAAGTTCATTTGCAAATGCTGGAAAACGTTGATTAGCTGTTGATGAATCTTTATCACAAAAAGAACTCCATAATTCACGAAGTGAATTGAAACCTGGTTTGAATATATCTTCCGTAAATGGAAGATCATTTTTACATGAATGAACAATATTAAGAAAACGAACAAGAAGATGATCTTTTGCTTCAATTCGATTAACTTCTTCAATAGCTTCATTCATATTTTCTTTTTCAAATTTATCTCGACTTTGTTTCCAAATCTCGACTGTTCGAATCTCGTCAATTAAACTACATGCTATCATATTTTCATCGTCTTTATAAATAATTAATCGAGCTGAACCTGGTTGTCCTTGTCGTCCAGCTCGACCAAATGCTTGTTGTTCAACACGTGAATTATTTGGCATAAATGTAACAATAACATGTAAACCACCATGATCAACAACAGATGTAATAACTTTTAAATCAGTTCCACGTCCAGCTAAATTTGTTGCAACAATAACATCACCTGGATGAACATCTTCTGGTTTTGTATGTTCATCACTTCGAAGATAAAGTTTTATATTTGAATGTTGAGAACGTAAATAAGATTGAACATCATTTGCATCACGTATAGTTTGACAAATAATTAAAACAGCTCGACGATTAGTAATAGCAATTGTACGACATTCGATACGAATTTTTTCTAACCATGATTGACGATTAAGAGCAAATTGATCTAAAATAAATAATAATATTAGAAAATATAAATGTATTTTAAATATAATTTACTTGGATAAATATCAAATATACTATCAATATATTTTGGTATAATAATAACATCAATTTTATAAACTAATTTTATAAAATTTTGTGCATCTTTTCCACCTAATGTACTCGTTAAACCATATAAATATTCATATTTTTTAAATAAAGTAACATTTGAATAAAATGAATCACACATACGTTCAGGTGTCATACGTAAATTATGTTTTAATTGAAGAAATTGATGAACACCATCACTCCAATGCATATGCGTTTGAGATACACCTGTATTTAAATAATCAACAGGAACAATTTCTTTTTCTTTATTAATTATGTAATCAATATCAAGTTGTAAATTATAAAGTGATCGTCTTGCACTTTTAATCCATTTTGGTAATTTAGAAAAAATATATGATCGACGAAATTCAGGAAATTCAATTAATTTTTTATCATTTAATTTTTCACGAATAAAGCCAAGAGCATCAACTAAAATATGCAGTACACTTTCATTAAATTTATTCTCTTAATATTTCTGTACTTTAGAGTATTATAGGTCGGTTTTTCTTCGATAGTGAGGTACNCACCAGCAGCTAGCGATATGAGGATTTCAGCAGCCGACAGTGACGATATGGGGACGTCTTTTTCTCCGATAATATTTAAGACAAAAGCATTTTGAAACCAATACTAGCTACAAAACATTCAACAACATGTACGAGAATGGTCTATGATTCGGATAAAATTTTTTAAACAAATTAGAAAATTTGTTTTAAAATCTACGTAATTCCACAGTACTTGATTCAACAGATATACAATTTTATGTTGATCAGTACTAGGACATAAGAAGTTCCACTATCAATCTCAAGTTTGTCTATCTGGGAGATATGTCAAAATCAAAATTTCATCTGAATCAAAAACCATTTTCATAGATTTTTTTGAATATTTTTTGGAAACCCTTGGTTCCAAAATGATTTTGTCCGAAATATTGTCGGAGAAAAATGCATTTTCATTTCGTCTCTTTCGACTAATGAAAACTACAGATCGATAGCTGTTTGTGCTCTCGACTTATTCAATTTTTAACTGAGTACTTTAAAGTATCGCGTCAATTTTCGTTTGTTTTACACATTCAAATCTTAAAAGAAATAAGAAACATTACATTTCTTGTTTACGGTGCAAAAAAAAGAACTTTTGTTTTAAAGCCTTTCGAATAAGAGAAAGCAAAAAACGTATGAATGTGTGATCGTTCATTTTACAAGCTTCATATCGACCCGTATCTGTGGATATTATTGACATGTCATAGATCAGTACGCATATTAAGTAGAAAAAGCTAAAAGTATTTTTGTTTTTTTTCACTAAAAACGAGGAAAAACTGAAGTGATCAGCCAAAAAATATGTTTATTCATAAAGTTATTCTCCAATCGTTGAATAACAACAACACAAATACATAATATTGTTGAGTATAAAAAGCAGGTAGTTCTTTCATTTATCTACTTTCATACTACAAATATAAGTTTCATATCTCACATAGGAATCAAGAGATTTTTTTCTCTTAGTTTTTAATCAGTGTATGTATACGAATCTCTACAAATAAGTTTTATTGCTCAGCCGTGATTTTTTCATTCGGTGACTACGAAAAACAATTCGTCTACGTCGTTCTTACCATATCAACATTACGGGTGATATTCGTTTTACATGCCGAAATATTCAGCTTGATGGAACTAGGGTGTGGGTGTGAGTGGGTGGATGTGGATTTGAAGACAAAATCTACATCCACACTCACACCTCGACGAAATTCAGGAAATTCAAGTAATTTTTTATCGTTTAATTTTCCATGAATAAAACCAAGAGCATCCACTAAAATATACAGTATACTTTCATTAAATTTATTCTCTTTATATTTCTGTACTTTAGAGTATTATAGGTCGGTTTTTCTTCGATAGTGAGGTACGTCGTTGATCGAATAACACGGTCCTTAAGGTTCACTACATCGGCTGAATACAGATTAATCATCAATAACGAATAGAAATCAAATAACAAAAATACATTTATAGAAATAAAGATGATATTTGTTTTCACCAAAATGTATATCTGATCTAGATTACAAAAAAAAAAAGAAAAGCCTTGTCTATATGGAAGCTTGGTCCTAATATACATTAACGCCATAGATAATAACACGTTAACAATATACACTGTTAATTTCCTCTCTGAATAATGAATACAAACATCTTGAAAATATCGACGGGATGTTTATCGCTGTGATGAGATCATGGGTCCGAACGGTTTCTTTAAGGGGTCCTCCCACTCTCAAAAATACACTTTTATTTTTCATCCTATTGGAACCAAGATTTGAGAGAATGTTAGTTTTGACTAGAATACATTATGAGTAAAACTAACATGTCATGATGATTTTTAAATTCAAGTGTACATTTTGAACTAAGTCGTACTGAAAAATTACTAATTGAAATCAAAGATCTAAACTTTATCAGTTCAGCAAAAAAGAGAAATTCAAAAATCAGCTTCTATGACGATCTAGCACTAACTGTCTACTGTGTAATAAACAAAAGTTACCAATTTTATATTGAATCGGTATTAAGAACAGTTTGTCTGCGTAAATGGTATACTCGAAAAAAACTGATTTTGAGAATAATGAATAGCAATATGTTTGCACTATTCGTCAAACTTTATTAGGTATGGTATGTGCCCATATACCATGATGCTTCTAGAAGTACATATTATGCCAAAGTTGTGATCAAGGTTCCTTATACATAAACATGTCACTTCAAGTCGCGCATGTTTTTTCTCTCAATTTTCCAGTTAATTCAAACTATGTCATTTCCTTTTGAAGCTTTGAACTATTCAGGATCTTTATAAGTATTTTGAGAAAAATGAATTATGTCAGCTTGAAATCTATTGCAAGACCTATCAAAATATGTAAAAATCTCGAAATCAATTTTCCTGAGAAGGGGAGAATCTAGGTGAATACAAAATTGAGTTGTCTAATATAGATATTTTTTTTATACGCAATATTCGCCCAGTATAGATATAGATAAAGGAACTTATGAGAGGGAAAAAAAAGAAAATAAATGCAGAGCAAAGAACAAACCCCATGTTTGTTGGAGTCTTGATTTATGATGCAGTAAAATCTACACCAATTTCAAGTTGAATTTTTTTTTAAATTTGTATTAATAATATGTGTCATTACTATGGTTCATTAATCAGATAGATCGATTCATGAAAATGAACTTTTGAATATTCAAATCATAATTTAACTTATGACTATCTGTAGTAAAAAAAATACTATGTTTTTTTTTTCTCTGCTTGTATTTTTGTTGTTTGATTTCTATTTGTTATTTGTTATTTATGATAAACATATGGTGACATACAATGATATTTACATTTTCTCACTTTATATTCACCATTGAAAAGAAGCAGACTAATATTAGGAGGAGAGAGGGAGGGAGAGAGTTCGATTGATATGGACTATAATCTTTTATTTTAATATAAAACACTTTGAGTAATTCATTATTCTACCTTTAACAAAACCATTTGCTTGTTGAATAACAAATTCATTCTCTTCCGTAATATTATATTTTTTAAAAAATATGAAAATAAATTTTAATATAATATTTAATGATTTGTAACCAGGTGTTAATGATGCTAATTGTGTAAAATGTTCACGTTGATCAATAAACATACTATCAACTTCATCAACAATAACTGCTGAATAAGGTCGATTACCGCGTACTTTTGTTTCTAGATAAAATTCAGTACGCAGTAAATCACCAGCGAATTGATTTACTGTTCCATAAATAATATCAACACTATAGTTTGTGGTTTGTGAAGGCTCGTGACAATTATGTCCAACTGTAAGATTGAACATTTGGTAGAACGGTGCAAATTCTTCAGCATCACGTTGAGCAAGAACCTCCGATGTTGTAATAACATCTACACATTTTTTTGATGGTACTAATGATAAATATACAGCCACTAAAAAATAAAGATTATGAAAATCTATTACATTAAAGAAATTTATTTTTCTTACACATTGCTATAATAATTGATTTGCCTTCACCAGTACGTATTTGAGCTAATCGTCCACGATTTTTATGTTGATTTTCGATGAAAAGAAGAAGTGATAAAATTTGAATATCTCTTGGTCGTACTTGTTTAAATATATAAACACCTTGAATAATAACAGCAATTTTATAAAATTCATTCTTATAATTTTGTCGATTTTGAATATCAGATGATGTCATTAGAGCTGTTTCTTTTTCATAATAATTCATTACTTTTTGATATCGTTGTTCCAAATCGACAAGATTTAAAGTTGAATTTTCTTGACCTAATTCTTGAAGTAATGTTTGTAACGATTTATTTTTACCTTGTTCATTAACAATTTTGTTTAATTCATCCATCCATTTATTTGAAGGACTTTTAGTTATTTTATTTACAATACGTTCAATATGTAATCGAAGTGATATGCGATTTACAACTATAGTTTCAACAACAAATAAAGCTGTTTTAATCGACGAAAGATTATTAAAATTTTGAGAATTAGTAAATGTACGTCGAAGTGAATCTACATATGATTGATCCCATTTAAGTTGATATAATTCTTCAAGATTATCAAGAAGTATTTTTCGATATTCTTCTAATGGTTCTTCACTATGAGTTCTATTATATGTGGTCTTGGGTATAGTTAATGATGGACGAAATGAAAGCAATTGTTCAGTTAAATTAATGTCTGTAATTGATGATTGATCGAACATACTTGAAAATCTAAGGAAAAAATAATGTGAATGTTATTATTTCGTATAAAAAAATAAAAACTTTTTTACCCATTATTTTGCAATTCTTGTTCAGATGAACACGAATTAAACAAAGTGGATGAGGTGGAAATGGTTGTTGGAATTTTCACTGGTGTAAAATCGAATAAGATCTTATTTTCATTATTAGGATCTGATGGCGATTGAACTGCAGCAAGAAGACAATCGAGCCATAACTCTGCTGGAATATCAGCTGATTGTATAACTTTAAGAATATTTTCTACTGGTAATAATGGAACGATAGTAACATTGTGTGTGAAAAGTTGACGTAAATGCCACAGATTATTATTTAATTGTGTTGGCATTGAATGTTCAAATTTAGTTGTCCAATCTATAATAATGGGAGACGGAAAGATGAGCACAGGAAAGAAGAGCACGGAAAGAAGAGCACAGGAAAGATGAACGAAAGGAAAGATGAACACCGACTATTTGAGCGCGCGGTCAATTGTCGAGAGAGAGACGCAAGGAAAGAGAAAAATAATATTTTGTGGCTTAATTGGTATGATGAACATTACAATTAAACATGTTGACAACAAAAAATTAGATTAGAAACTGTGTCTATCTGAGCCTAATGATATCAATTTNTTTCTCCATTTCTTCTATCACAACTATCACTTTCATCAGTATGATGTCGTTGAATACTTCCATTACATGCACTACATATAATGGTTTCACTATGTTGATCATGATTTTGTTGTTGCTCGAGCTCTTGTTTGCATTTTAAACTTTGTTGTTGATGATTTCCATCCACTAGTGTTGATTCAGTTTCAATACGACCAACAACCCATTCAGTCTAGTTGAAAGTTTTGTTTAGAGAATAGATTTATTCCAGAATGTCATTCAAGTCAAAAATCATGTTAAAGATATAAATCTATTCACATAAAGAACATATTTAGAAAATTCTTGTGTATCAGTTTTTTTTCTTATGTTATAGCGATTTAGCAAGTTTTTGATCTTTATTACGGCACACATTAGGTTTGTAGTGAACAGCTGTCTATATCTTATGTCAAATTTATCATCATGCTCTATTGCGTACCGCTTAAACCGCAACGAATATAATTGATCGTACAGTTACTAATTGTGTTAAAATTTCAAAGAAACGATGCCAATAGTTGAGATCGGAATAAAACATAGTAAAACTTATGAATAGAGACATTATTAATTTGGGGGATATGAGTGTGGATATGTTTATGTCGATTTTGGTTTCAATTTTTGTGTTGATATCAAGTATGAATGTGAGTGTCACGCCTTAGTTTTTTCGCTGCTTTTTCTTTAACTTTATTTTTTGTTTATTCAACAAAGTTTATAAACATCACAATCCTTTTCGCTGATCATCTGTTGAAGCTCATTCTAGAAGTCGAACATATGTGTTCTTTCCATTGGTTTTTACATCAATGTCTCACAAATAGAGACGCACGAAACTAAGAAAAATTGAAGGAGGGATCGACAACTTAGCAGGCTGATTGAGAAATACTTGCTGAAATTTATTGGTTTTCGATGGAAATATTTGAGCAAAAACACGAGGAAAGTGTTGCCAAATTTGCTTGTGAAATCGCTGAATTTTCAATATTTGGAGAGGAGCTCGCTGTCTACCGGGAACATCTTTGCTTAAAAAACGCGATATTAATTGGCTTGATACTTTCATTCAATTTTTTGAGAACTAAATTAATACGATGTTCGAATAGTAAAGTCAATTTTACAGATGGTCTGAAAAGAAAGATGATATTTTGTTCAACATTTCATTAAAATAATCGAGTAAAAAAGAAAAAACCTATAATCAATCGTTGTTTTAAACTTCTTTACATCTTACTAAAACCTATTTAGAGGTAAGTGTTCAATTCATCTTAAATGTGGTTTATCGTATCTTAGAGTTCACTCACTTGTCTTAATTCTATAAGACCTTTAATCATGCGACAAATACGATCTGATATTTTCTGTTCTTTAACAATAGAATTCAATTGACCATAGTATTTTTCCAATCGGGATTTTTCTGGTACCTAAAATAATAAAAACAAAATAAAACAGATGGGAGTCAAATAGAGATTGTCTTTTTTGAAAATATTCATACTATTGGAATCACTGCATCTTCAAGTTTTTGACCAGTCGTATGTAATAAATGATGTAAATATTCGAGACTTTCTTCGTCATTTTTATCACGAAGTAAATATTCAATATACTCGAACACAAGAGAAGACCATATCATTCCAAATCTATATAATTTACCCATAAAACTAAAATAAATAAAAATTAGGTTTTTTAATTTAATATCGTATTAAACTCAAAATATTAAAAGTCTACGATACATTTTCATAAGAATTCAAGAAATTTTCTTACGGATAAAATCAGACTTATGATGAGACATTTATTTTAAGACAAAACAAAATATCGTTTAATGATAGACTAACTTCAATTTTGACATTGTATCATTAGAACGTTCATTTCTGGGGAAAAAAATCATTAATCAAAATGATTTTTTAGATTCATGAGAAGATTCAGCAAATAGGAGACGATTATAGATCAACATCTTCTAAGAAGTATTGGCTTCGAGATAATGAGCGAAAAATTTTCTGGAAACAAAATTGAAAATTTTGGTACGATCGTTTGCGAATTGAGACAACTATGCTATAAATCATCTTTGACTCATCAAAATTGAGAAAAAATAACAAAAAAAAAACAAAATCGTATTATTAATCTAAACACGAGCTTTTGACATATTTTTAAGGTCGAACGCGAATCTATTCTCAAATATGTTTCTTGAAACCAGAGTAGTGATAAAAAAAATTGTTTTTAAATCTAGCCTTTTTTTTTTATTGAAAACGATGTAACTCATCAGTAGCACAACTCTCTTTGTCTGTTGCTTGATATGATCTTCTTTCTTACAATCTAAAATAAAACTTGTCATTCTTAGACATTTCAAGTCCATATATTAGAGTTTGTCGCGTTGAAAAATTTTGAACTCGATTTTGATGGATAAATCTCACTGAAACGCGGATCTGAACATAACATCGTACAAATGTTTATAAATCGTGTTATGAAGCAAAGATGTTTTCTATACCGATTACCTGCCAATAGTCCGCTATTATTATTTCCTAGTGGACGGTGCTATTCTGAACTCTATTCAGAATATTCATTTCTTTTTCTTTTAGCTTATAATTTATAAATATACTTACAGAAGATGTTTCAACTTTCTTCGTTTAATTTTAATAAAGTCTTCTTCGAATTTCTTCGTTGCGTCTGTATCATTTTTTTCATTTATTACAGTTTCACTTTCAAGTTTCTGTTTTTCATATTCAATTTCTTCTCTACAAATATTGGCGTATTGCTTTTGACAATGTTTTATTAATACTCCATGAAAATTACGTGCTTTTTTTCGACCGCGTGTATTTAATATGGCGGCTGTTTTCTAGAGAAAAATTTTTTTTTAATTATATAGGTACATAATATAAATAGTTTACTCTGCTCAATAGTTTACACAATCTTGCATATAGACAGCCAGATCCTGGTTCATCAACACTCTGAGAAAAACAAAGATTTTTAATAAAATTACATGAAAACTAACAAAGATAATTTACTTTGGAATAGAATAGTTCAACGATTTCTTCTAATTTTTCATAACAATCAAATTTTAATCTTCTCAGTTTTCTTGCCGATGTACCAAATGTTTCTGGTGTAATTTCATGTAGTATTGACTCAACATCACGTAGGGTTAGATTATTATCATCAATTTTGCTTTGATCACCTTTATTAATAACAATTGGAAGATGAGAAAGACTTTTCGGCAATGGAAATGTTGCTGAATTATCACGAATACATAAAAGTTCATCGCAATCATATTTTAACTGTTGTATTGCTTGTGGTTGACATTTATCATTATTTATGGTTGCTGATGGTAGTGATGTAACACATTCTAATGATGCACTTGTCTTTAATGTTGATGCTGATTGAAATTCTAATAGATTTGAATTAATGTCTTCATTCATTAGAGATATTGAATCAACAGACTAATTAAATAATAAGAGAGAAAATAAGCAACACTTATAAACACAGAAAATTTCTAAACTATTTTCTCTGAAAAACTTCAGAGTTTTTGAGATAACTAGAACGAAAATGAAGATATTTTTGAATAGATTAAATTGATCCCTATTGATCGAAATCTGCTGCTTTGTTAAACATTTTTTTCTAGCTGTATTCTAGAAGAATGTTAAATCGATGCAAATCTGTAAGATTGATTCAGTATCAATTTAATCAATACTGGACAATAAGATGTTTCAAGGACTATGGCGGTCTTATTAAGCTTTAGTAGAAACTTTCATGGTACATGTGTTGATAAAACTAGCTGATCGAAGAATTGAGAAATTTATGTTATCTCTTCTTTTCATTTTTGAATGAAAAGTTAATGATGTTGTTATGATGAAGAAAATAAAATTTCAAGTATACCTTATCTGTTTGAGTCTTGGACGAATTAGTCAGTTCAGCTTGAATTGATCTGTCATTGTTATCAATTGTCAATTTTATATGAGATATAACTGAATTGTTAATCATTGGTTTCGTTGAATAGGTTTCATTTTCAATGCTTGTAGACGATGATAATTCTGTTGTTGATAGATTTGTTGATTGTATACGAATTTCAATTGGTTTATTTGATACTGGATCAATAATAACTAATGGTTTTCTTTGTCGTTTTTGCGTTGATACTGATGATATTGTTGATTCACATGAATTCGATTGTTTCATATTCTGTGCAGTTAAAGGCTGAGATGTTGGTGCAGAAAAGTAATCAATCTACAATAGCAAGAGAAGAAAGTTTTTTTTTTTGTAAGATCTCCTAAAACCTTTACTGGTGTATGTTGAGTTGATTTTTGTAAAGTAGGATTCTCATATGATCGTTGTTGGAATGGTAACACTTTCACAGGCATTAATGGTGGTATCTGTGCTGTTGCAGAACTTGTCGATATTGGATCAGCTAATAAAATTGTAAAAAAGAAATTTATTNATGCTGATTGAAATTCTAATAGATTTGAATTAATGTCTTCATTCATTAGAGATATTGAATCAACAGACTAATTAAATAATAAGAGAAAAAATAATCAACACTTATAAACACAGAAAATTTCTAAACTATTTTCTCTGAAAAACTTCAGAGTTTTTAAGATAACTAGAACGAAAATGAAGATATTTTTGAATAGATTAAATTGATCTCTATTGATCGAAATCTGCTGCTTTGTTAAACATTTTTTTCTAGCTGTATTCTAGAAGAATGTTAAATCGATGCAAATCTGTAAGATTGATTCAGTATCAATTTAATCAATCCTGGACAATAAGATGTTTCAAGGACTATGGCGGCCTTATTAAGCTTTAGTAGAAACTTTCATGGTACATGTGTTGATAAACCTAGCTGATCGAAGAATTGAGAAATTTATGTTATCTCTTCTTTTCATTTTTGAATGAAAAGTTAATGATGTTGTTATGATGAAGAAAATAAAATTTCAAGTATACCTTATGTGTTTGAGTCTTGGACGAATTAGTCAGTTCAGCTTGAATTGATCTGTCATTGTTATCAATTGTCAATTTTATATGAGATATAACTGAATTATTAATCATTGGTTTCGTTGAATAGGTTTCATTTTCAATGCTTGTAGACGATGATAATTCTGTTGTTGATAGATTTGTTGATTGTGTACGAATTTCAATTGGTTTATTTGATACTGGATCAATAATAATTAATGGTTTTCTTTGCCGTTTTTGCGTTGATACTGATGATATTGTTGATTTACATGAATTCGATTGTTTCATATTCTGTGCAGTTAAAGGCTGAGATGTTGGTGCAGAAAAGTAATCAATCTACAATAGCAAGAGAAGAAAGTTTTTTTTTGTAAGATCTCCTAAAACCTTTACTGGTGTATGTTGAGTTGATTTTTGTAAAGTAGGATTCTCATATGATCGTTGTTGGAATGGTAACACTTTCACAGGCATTAATGGTGGTATCTGTGCTGTTGCAGAACTTGTCAATATTGGATCAGCTAATAAAATTGTAAAAAAGAAATTTATTTGCATATCATGAATACGAAATTTACTAAAAAAAAGTTTACTTGAAGAAACAGTTGATTCCGATGGGAAACTACTGTTGCCTAGTGGATATGCTTGAGAATATCCATTTGTTGAAAATATACATGAATAATTGTTTATATTTTGATTCGATGGTCGAAAAAGAGGAATATATGAAAGATTCTATATTTAGAAAAATTTGCTTTTTTTCTTAAAATAGACGTTTCTTTTTTAAGACTAACGTTGCATTGTAGATTGCTTGCAGGCATAACTGAATATTGTAAAACAGTTGAAGGATAATTGAGAAGTTTTACTTGATTAATATGCTAAAAATAAGAAAGGTTCATTCAGAGCTAAAAAATCATATATTAATTTAATTTACTAGTCGATTGTCAGTTTTTGATGCAGTTTATACTGACTTTTTTACAGAGTATTCTAGAAACAAATAAAAATTTCAAGTATTAATTTTGTATTAATCCCATATCAGCAATTCGACATATAAAAATCAGGTGGTTATGAATGTGAGGGAGTGAGTAAGGAAACTAACGACGGAAAAACACCTAACACTCAAACCTATTTATCTGTCATTCGTACACTTACATTCAACTTTCTATGTTATATCAGATAGCTGAATTAATATATTCTCGATAAACTTTTTATAAAGTATGCAACTAACCAATGCTGAGAATATTTTCTTCTGGTAGTTCGATAAGAACTACAACCCTATAGTATATTCGAATCTTTCCAAGACGAACTGTTGAGCAATGACGAGTACGTTAATTAATAATGATATTTTGACCTGAGAATATCACAGAACCTTGAAGAAAGATTTGTAAATACTATAGTAACCAACAAAAGTTTTGATGTTTTTGCTAATAGTGCTCTGTGCTATCTTCATTTATCGATGATATTTCTTTTTCTCGAACATATCCAATATGAACTAAAAATATATGAGCACGTTTCATGAAGATACACTTAGTCAAAAAAAATTTCATCAAGATTCTTGATGATTTTAGCTTCGTATCAAATTGATAAAAGTGTCTTATTGTGATATATTCTAGAAGCTATATTTAGAAAAAAGACAAAGTATTAGTGAAGCTCAACAATTCCGAGTATGTGTTCTAAAATTATAGCTGCATATGATGTTCGACACATGTTGATATTATTGAGATAAGATGCAGAGTCTTATATTATCTTCTCGTGAAATATGAGATAAATTTATAAGGTGTTATATGCTCTGAATTACTCTCGTCTTTGGACGAAAATCCTATTCCTTGCTTTTTGGAAAAAAAGAAAAATGATCAAACAGCATTTCGTATCAAAAAGATGAAAATATTTCATTTGATAAGATGTTAAGAATATCAGTTTTTAAATGACGACTAGCTCTTCTAATGTATCTAGTAGTCAAATGTAAAAGGAAAGTTGGCTCTTACTACTTTTCACCAAACCGTTGCCTTTCGACGACAAACAAAACCAAAAATAGGTATTATTTCTTTAGATTTTTGTCATTATAATACTCTACGAATATATACAAACTAAAGTTTCTTTCATAGTAGAAAAGAAGAATGACTAAAATGGTTCACTTATTACCTTCTAACTAAGTATAGAAAACAAACTTCAGTACTTTATAATGATTTTTTGACTATTATTTTTCTACATAGAGTGTTGACTTTGACTGCGTAACTACATAATACAAATGCCTACGAGCATTAAAATGTCGTTTTTCTTCTTTAAAATTTTTCATAAGAATCAATTTTGAATAAGTTCTTAAAAATCTCTGGATCTAATGGCTTTATTACATTGACTTACATATTATTTTGTATTAGTTTTGTTTCTTCATCAAAATTAAAAGATTTTGATTTAAAAAAAAAACTTTTTTTTTCGGATCACAGATAAATACAAAGATTTTTTATTTCTATAGACAGAGTTTAAAAGCATTTTGAACGTTTAGACATTGTATAATTAGTTAAGAATGCACAATGTCTAGTCGAACTATAGATTTTGCAAGATCTTTTTTGAGATTTCAAGATACATGTAAAATTACATTTTAAACTCTTTTTTAAGTTTTCAATAACTCATTTTTGTTGAATACCGTTAACTATTGTGTCTATGAATTGATGTCAACATTGACTAAAATGAGTTCAAATTTAACAGATATTCTTGAGAAACTGACAGTTTCTATTGAAATGAATAGTTATTTATCTCTGCAGTTCATGCACTTTTTTATTTCATTCATCTTTGATTTAACATTTTAAAACTGTTCTTTGCTGCGCTTTCGTTCCGCTGAAGTCGATACATACATTTACTATTATTTCATCAGGCTCTATACAATTATATATGTAAATCAAAAAAAAAAATAATCAATTCGTACTTTTTATGTTCTGCATTTCGATTTAAATGAGATGAAGTTATAGCTGCAAACAGAATATTATCGTCCAATAGGTAAAGAATGTAATAGTGAAAATATTCGAGGACTATATTTTAGAATACAAACGTTGTTTATTACTGTCTTATGACTTTCTTGATTGTTCGTTTAACTTTGTTTGTTTTGCTGTTCCAAAGAAATTATTGGAATATAAAATTGTAGAAAAATAATGTTGAACAACAAGCCGAAGATTTTCAAATCAGAAATTCGGAATCTATCAAAATTTAGCCGAGGAAAATGAGATTGATCAATGTTTCGTTATTCATCATCCGACAGTTGGCAGCTTACGGTAGCTATTCTCGTCTACCTAAACATCGGTTACCCTCGTAAAGAATTTTAGATGTTGTTGTTCATATTAAACATGTGGACATTTATAAACAAGTTACCTTGTTTCTTTACACTAGTCACACGTTTGTAGGCATCATTAACAGCTCTTTCTAGCTCATCAATGCCATCAATATTATGCTCGGGTATGACAGGTTGTTCCAATTTTTCCAAGTTTTGAGCAATTTTTTTGATGCTGTTGACTAATGTTTCGTTGGTTTTCAGTAACTTGACAGGATCCTTCGTCGAAAGAATGTAGTTGAATTTTTCTCTATGATGACCTAGCTTCTTCTTTTTGAGCAACAGTTGATTTTGATAGTCTTCAATCAATTTTTTGTTATTTCTGTCGATCTTGTCAATCTTTTCTTGTAGTATCTTCTCGTGCTCATCGATGGTTGCACGGATAGATGCAAACACTTCAGTGATTTTGTCTTTATTAATGTATTCAATCAAAATTATCATTCGATGCGTATTATTTAACGCTTCCTCGATCGATGATTGTACACTGCCAAGGTCATCCTTTAACTAGATTTTATCGACAACTGCTTTATGAAATAAATAGAGACATTAAGAAATGCTGACCTTTCCTTCTACGTCTTCTACAGTGTCAATAATGTTTACAATGCTATGGTCATGGTGATCAATCAATTGGCAGTTGTGGCAGATTTTTCTCTTACATTTGTAACACCAGTACTTCTCTTTTTCATCTGAATGTATTTTACAGCGCATCGGTTCCCAAGGCTTTTTGTCAATGGGCATTCTTTCATGTGTCTGCAAAGTCAGTTTTGCATGAACAGTATTACTACATTTCAAACAATAATTATTGTTGCAGTTTTTGCACCAAATTTCAGCTTTGATAGAACATTTATTAAAACACTTTATGATAGCTACAAACAAAGAAAAGAAAAGCGGCAATGCAAATATCAAGTCACAAATTATTCTATGAAAAAATAGATGAGATAAACATATTTGTATATGTTTTTCAAAGTTTCTGTTTGTATAAATACTACATTTTTAACGATCAAATCATGCTATTAAAATTATATTAAAATCATTGAAACAGTCGCATGAAAATATGATCACGCAGCTATTTTTGATATCTGAATCCACTCAAAATAATCGATGTTACATCAGACAAATTACGATAAATTCATCATTCAAAAAAGAATAGTTCATTCAGTCATTGTGCAATTTAGTAAAAATCTACTTGTTAGATAAAGACAAGAATATAGAAAATAATTTAACAATTCAAAACGATTCAATCAATGCAAGTTTTTCAATAAAAACATATAGAATAAGCATTTAGATGAAATTCTTAGCGATTTTTGATTCTCCTAATTATATATGCTGCTGAACCTGCCTGTGCACGATGTCAGGAGGTAACTGACAACTTTTTACATAAAGCAATGTATACCGATTTCGAATTCAATGGAAATATAAGCTCGTATGTTTTTGGATGGTATAGTTTATCGACAAACATTTGATCTAATTCCTTCTGATCATGATTTCATCGTAGTATAGGTATGCGAAGGAATCACAGCTCTTAGTAGGTTTATCACTTATACACATTGAAGGCAATCGGTATTTATGTAAAGGTGTACACGTGAGTGAGTAAAATAATCAAAGTATATATTGCGTAAGTGATCAAACGCTTGGAAAAAAGATGTATGCGTACCTGTTTTTTTGGATAGCATATCGTAGAGCTAATAACGTCACGATTTAAGCGTATTGAAATCTAAAAGTAAAACAAGAATATTACGAGTTTAGTGTATAACTGCAATATTATGCAGGTAACGAGATGGAAACAATTTTGATTCTGTCACTAATTAGACTTGTTTTCAGAAATTGAAAAGAAAGTAAGAGTTATCTTAACTAAAACAATAGTTTATCCTGAACTCGGTCGTACTTGCTTCGTTAGAAGATAACCTCCCAGTCATATATACCGATTATGAATAGTTAAATGCGGAACTTTCTGATTGGTAGTCTTTTTTAGAATCAAGCTTTTATGAGTTTCATTACAATTTCTATCAACTAATGCACTATCGTTGTCTAACTTGTTTAATGGAATAATGCAGAGTTTTTAGGCTACTAAGATTAAACAATAGCATAATTGAATACCTCTTTCTATTTAAAAAAGTTGTTTGAATGAAGAACTCGCTCAGCATGAACCAGACAGTATGTTTTTTTAAAGGATTCTTTTCAAACAATTTGAGATTTTAAAAAACTGAACATAAGTGAGATAGAAAAAGAGGAAAAATTATATAAAACAAAAAGAAACAACTTCACACACAGTTTTGACAGAAAAAAAACATATATAATTCTAGAAATACGTGATGAATGCATTTCAGGATGAGAGAAATTCTATCTGACCGTTTTTTGGAAAATAGGATAAAGAAATTCTGATCTATAACTAGTGAAGCTGGATTATTGGCTTCATCTTTTTTTTTGTATGTAGCCTTTACGATGTCTCAGAATAAGGCACTATTTCTATCGATTGTAATATATGCCTAGTATGCTGATTCGTTGTTGGACCAATCATGTGTTGTGCTCGAATTTTTAATCATGAAGCCTTTTTGGTAAAATGTATAGAGAGATGTGGCTTTCAGCATAGGAACGAGGAGATGATGATACATTGAACAGTATATGAAAACAGTTTTCTGACTACTTTCCGAACAGTTTTACACAAAGCTTCTAGAAAAACAGCATGCCTCTTATAGTCGCATTGTTAGTTTATTGATTTTCAGCAGTGCGCTCAAACTACCAAATGATGAGCTACAAAATTATTTGAAAATTCTATTGCTAACCACTACCAGTAAGATATCCTAGTCATTGGAATGCAACTTACCACTCAATTTCTTCCCCAAAATACTCGAAAAATTCAAGTTTTTAGTTTCTAGTGACGAAAAATCGCTTTTTAAATGTATGAGACAAAAGCATTTTTTTGAAAATGTTTGACTAAAACTGTTAGAAAAGTTATTCAGGAAATTATTTTTATATATAGTTCGCCGCGTCTTCATCTCTGCTTTCCAGTGATGAAAATCGCAAGTCTCTAGCTCAATCTATTCAAAAACAATACTCACCCACTTTTTTTTCTTGACACCGTCATTAGAATCAATGAAGCCTTTTCCAATTCTTTCACACTACATGAAGCTTTTCCAAATATGAAACCATTTCGATAGTCTGCATTCGGCTGTCCTCTCTCTTATATAAATTCGCCTATTTGTCTAAAGTATTTGTGTAAATCTGAACTACTTCTGTACTGTGTGATACTCTTTAGGAACACTTAGTCGAAACGATAAGTAGTTGGAGTCTCTAAACTGTCTCATGACATATGCTTGCCAGTTGTTTAACGCTCTTCAGCTCGATGTAGACACAGTAGTTCATGTACTGACTCTTTTCTCATTGCACTGTTGTAACGGCTATCTATGTGAGTTCAACTATCCTGTTGCCAATCACATAGTTTGTTGTATAGCTTGTAGCTGTAGACAGACACCGTGTTAAAATCATTAACATTAATAGTTGAACCTTTCAAGTTCTCGTTCTTACAAAATAATCTATTTTCAGAAATTCTTTCATGCTATCGCGGGGTGTGGGTGTGGGGTGTGGGTGTGGGTGTGGGTGTGGGTGTGAGTGTGGGTGTGGGTGTGGGTGTGGGTGTGGGTGTGGGTGTTGATTTTCTCATAATTTATATTGGACACCCACACCCATCTTCAACAACCTTTCTATATAGATACAACATAATATGCTATTAAAGAAAATATAGTTCTTTTTTTTAACCACATGGTTGTTTATATTGTAAAGCTCGTTGTTTATATTCATGTGCACATTTTAAGTATAGTGTAGCTTGTTCACATAATGCGGTCTGTAGCTCATTCTATAATCGTTCTAAAAGATCATCTCCATGATTAAATATCATTATTTTATCTCGATAATCCATAGCCCATTCTGCATAACCACTAATGGATCCACAAAAAAGAAAGATTTGTACAAGATTTGAAAATTCATAGATCTCTGGAACGATTTCTTTAGCAAGCGAACCCGACACAATAAGATAAATCGATTCATTTGAATGAGATCTGATGTATTCAATGCAATGGTCTACATCGGTAAATGTTTGAGCGTCGATACGTTTATTACGAAAGCTGCTCTTTGCATCTGATGAATTTGCATCGAGCCAAATAATATTATACTGCCACATGACTGCTTAATCTGCTTTAATTACTTGAATTTGATTGCTAAAAGTTGATAAAAGAGAACATGTTTTTTGTTTCAAATTTTTCCCACATATATGCATCACTAATAAAAATACTTATTGGACTCTTCCTTGCATATTCAATTCATGAACTTACGAATTTCCTATATGACTATAAATTGTAGAATAAAAAATTCCTTCTATTATTGTCAATGGTTCAGCTGTCCTCATAAATAATAAACGAAAACTTTTCTTTTTCATTCTTTCACATGTGTGTCATGGGACTTTTTTGTCAAAGTTTACAAAGAATATGCAATGGGCAAAATCAGCATGAGTCATATTCACTATTTATTCAGTTCATATTCTTGAGGGTGTGGGTGTGAGTTTGATTGTGGATACACGTGTAGAAAAAAGAGATATCTACAACTACATTTTGTCAATCAGAAATTTTTTTTTATGATCCCATATAGGGTGTGGGGGTGTGCGGGTGTGGGTGCGGTGTGGGTGGCTGTGGGTGGGTGTGAATCTACTGGAAACCACACCTACACCGTTACCCCTACCCACACACCCACACCCACCGATACCCACACCCTATTCTCATCGCAGTTTTATCGTTCCAGGACGAGAAATCCGATTTTATGATCTTATTGGATCTCACGTGAAAGAAACCGTCGGATTATAGTGCATCCTTTAGAACTTTGTCGGATCTGATGATTTTCCTGGTAGAGGATTCCGACTTAATTCGATAGAATCCTGTTGGGTGGCTTTGATGTGGCATATGATATGCTACAAAATCGATCGGTTCATCTCCGATAGTTATCGAGAAACCAAAGAAAAATTTGTTAGGATATTTAGTAGAAAAGTAATTATAACATCGTCCCAAGTTTAGCCTTTTATTACATACAGAAAATCGTAGAAAAAAAACTGACAGATTTTTGGCATTTTAGTCTGCCAAAATACACAAGAAAATGTGAGTCTACTTATTAATCGGATTTAATACCTTCAGTTCTATCTGTGGGGACATATAGCAGTAGATGTGCATGTTTAACAATCGCGCAGTAGCCCCAATATATTTTCGACTATGAATTACTACTTTTTTACCAATGTTAATGTGCCTTTGTTTGTCTATCATGAAACCAATCTAATTTTGATGAAAGCACAGAGGTTTTGACTAAAATTTCGCTTGAATATCTCTATTATGCCATTGTTTTGACTAAGCTGAAATCAATGGAACGGAATCTACTTTGCAATTCGCTTGTTAAGAGATGAACGAAAATTGAACATGAGTCATACGTATAAAAATTTTGTTGCTGTTAAATACTATCATGTCATTTGATAATTTCGATCAGACGATGTGACGATATTACGATTGAGTCTCACTATTTATTTGCTTCATTGTTGGGAAGTTGGTTTTTTTCCGTATTGCTCAATATGAAAGACCGATGGCTCAATTGTATTATGACGAATAAACATTTTCTGTTTCGTTCGAACATGCAATTAACAAACCAAGAAAATTTGTCATTGGTTATTACTAATATATGTGAAATCTAAAAATTAATGAAAATATGATGGAGATGAGGAAATGTAGGAAATATTTTCACTCATCATATCATAAAAAACCTTGAGCACCGATAGAAATATCTTTGGGCATTATGTTTGTAAAATTTTAGATTTTTTTATCATTTCTGAAGCTATGTATCGTAAGAATTGGTCTCGATTTATAAAGAAAAACGTAGAAAATATGAAGAACTTTTTCCAGGGAGATAACTTTTAAGAATCTTGTTAAACATTGCAGAGTCTCCAAAATCATAAACAAATCACTTTCGGAGTTGTTCCATGAATGAAAAACGAATACATATCTATATGTGAATCAAGAGAATACATGGAACATATATATATATCTGATATCTCCTGTGTAACTGATTCATCAATGAATAAATAAGAATCGATTTTAAAAAAATTTTTCATTTAGTTTATTTGTTAAAAAAATAAGCTTTATTTTTTGAACAATAAAAATGATCAATCATACTATTTAACTGAGAAATGCATACTTGACTTTATCATACTAAGAAAATTAGTTGTTTTGTTCGGATGATAAATTATTAGAATTAATGAAACTTGGATAAAGAAGATAGCCATTTGAATCAGAGATATGCATCGCGAGTCCTAATCATACCAACTGTTAAACTCTATTGCGAGAAATATTTTTTTAAAATCGATTCT